CCGCTGCCGCTGCTTGGGCTGGGGCTCGGCGAGGCTCACGCCCACCGCTGGATCCTGTCTGGGCGCCTGACACCACTGCCTGCCTGCCACGAGGTTCTTCTCCTGCATCCATCACCCCTCCATGGCTCGCTGCCCTGGTTGCCCTGCCCTGGCGCCTATAGGTGGCTTTATGTCCTTAAACTGATGGGTTGCAAATCCCAAGGATTGCCAGGAGGGACAGAGGGCTTTAGACAGCGTTTCCCTACAGCGTTTGTGCCAGTGACCGGAGGATTCACACGGACTGAACATTGCTGCATCCCGGCAGGTACCCCCGAGGCACCCCCAAAGCTGGAACCCCCAAAGCTTCCCAGCGCCACCTCCACCCAGTGAAACCCAGAGAAGGCTGAGAGCTCTGCCCTGCCTTTGTTCTGAGGGTGCAGCCTCTGGTTTAGAGCTGGTGGAGAACATTTCCTCTCCTAGGCTGCTTTTGAAGTTGTGTCATTACTTTTTCTTAATGAAACATGCAAATCCCGCAGATGCCGCGATTGCATCTCAAGGAGCTCAGTCCTGGCACTGCTCTGGTTGCAAATATTTAACCAGCATGTAATTTAGGACACATCCATCCTCATTACCTTTTCCCTCATGATTTCTAATTGCTCAGAATATATTTTCTTAGTGATGGACTGCTGGGAAGCCCACTCTGTTGCAGTCGTTTTTGGCAATCCTGGGCAAGAAGGGAAGAGACTGAGTTTCATTAAACAGGGAATCTGCCATTAATCATGGCAGAGGTATGGCATGATGTGTTGGATGATTGCTGTGGGAGGCCTTCCATAAGCCATGAAGTTTGGCCACTGATAGCCCATGGTCCCCTTCAATGATGCTGAATTGCATATGCTGAGGTCACTTTTCACTGCAGTTCTGAAGGCTTCACTTACACAGGATAAATACTTTCTGCCTCCAAAATACCAGAAAACTATTCAGTAGCAGCATTTGACTGAAGAAATGAAATGTCATGATAGCAGTATTTCATGGCCTTATTTTTAACTGTAATGCTCACTGCTTCAAGTTTACATCCCAACAGCACATTTCATTTCCCTCTTCAATCTTCTCAGTGGGCAAAAAAGCAACATTCTCCAGACCCCACACTGCAAGGAGTGATAAATACAGCTTTGTCCACACATTTTAATGCATCTTAAGAAGCCTGAGAATCACAGACCCTGTTGGATCCAGCAGCATCAGAGCACTAAAAATACCTCAAAACATTTCAAATTACCTATCTTGAAATTGTTTCTCATGCTCTGGTGCTTGAGCCAGCCAAGGTACAGTCAGCATTTTGGGGCCAGCACCCAGATACATGATGACAGCCTTGAATGCACTTTGTGGCATTGCAGAGGTTCACTTGAGCTGGCTGCAGAGTCTGCTCATGCTCAGGGGCTTTGGCAGGGGGGACCTGAGCCCAAATCTTCCCATCTTTACATAAAATATGAGCTGCAGAGCCCAAAGAGAAGGCACCGCAATGGCTGTGGTTCATCAGCCCAGTACCCCTAATGATGGGACCTCTCCAGAGCACATGGCAAATCTCCAAGGATCCCCTGGAGCTTTGGGACTTCCATCCTTGAAGTATTCCCACCCCAGGGCTTTCTTTGCCTAAGCCCATGTGCATCTGTTAACCAATCACAGATATCTGGAAGGAATCACTAGTATAATTATTTTGCAGACTGTGACAATTTTTTTTATGTTTTTATTAAAAAAAAAAAAAATCAAACCACAACAAGAAATGAGTATTTGTCAAACCCAGCTGTGCAAGTCAGGCAGATTTCCAAGCATGCACCGACATAAAGGTTAAGCACTCAGTAATTCAAGTGTCTTCCACATACAGTAATAAAACTTCTCATGATTTATCCAGGAGCAGCTGCTGCCCTTGCTTAGCAAATGTAACTGCCCTGTAAAATTATTTTCTATTCATAAGGCTTGGAGAGAATTATGTTTTTATGTTAACATAACTTGGAGCTGATGATTTCTGTCTCCAGCTTTTCCTGCTGCTTTAATTATAACAGTGCTTTAACACTTGCAGTAGGAAACTGCTGAAAATGCATTTCTTGTATTGCAAATGATGCAAAAAAAAAAAGGCCTTTGGCATACGTTTGATGTCACAGATGTTCAGTCCCACAAAGGTTAACCAAAGCACACCTTTAAAAGGGGGTGTGAGGATAACAGAAAACAATCCTCTACAGTTGTATCTTCAAGGATACACGGGAACACAGCCCTGGTTTATGTCTCATTTCAGCTTTGCTGGTGTCTTTGCAGTCAGTGCCATGGAGCCCCTCCTACAGCACACACAGCTCAGTGACATTGGGCTCTTTCACCCGAGATCAGAGCTTTTATAAAAGCTCCCTTTTTAATGGGCAAGAACAGAACAAAACCGTCCAGCCCACACCCCTGAGGACGAGCAGCGTGTCCCAGAGATGCCTCGGGCACTGCTGCTTGCTGTCCCTGCTGCTGTCCCCAGCACTGACCTCTATTGCCACCACCCCGTTACCTCTGCAGAGACATCCAGAGCCCTTTGGCTTTCAATACCAATTACTTCAGGCAAGTTAGGCACCTCTTTGACAATCCCAGGTGCTCACCTACTGACTGAACAGCTGATACTCAGTCCCTCTACAGCTCATTTCTACAGCTCCAGCCACTCCAGCAAATGCTCCTCTGTGTTTTTAAACTAAATGCAGGAAGCCGAGGGAAGCAAGCAGCACCCAGAGAAGCCAGCCCACTCAGTAAAGTGTCACATACAAATAAGGAATGACCATAAAATACCTTTTTTTTTTTTTTTTTTTTTACCCATCATGTAGAAATAGAGGTCAGTGGAAGCCGGAAGGCATTTGCCCAGTTATGAGCAGCTTGTGCTGGATGTGATTTAGCTGATGCTATTAGGCTGGGAGAGAAGCAGAAGCATTTCCCTTCTAGGAAATGCTCTGTGTGAATGGCTCCGTGCTCAGATGCAGCATTCACAGGCCTGGGTGTCGGCTGGGTTCTGTTTGTTTGCTTGTTCCAAAGAAGGGCTTTTTAAGCAGGGTTCAAATGTGTTCACACCAGAACAGCTTCAATGGGTACAAGCAGCAGAAGGAGCACTGGGGCTTGCAGGGAAGCACACTCCAAACCACAGCCTGCATTTTGCAACATCTTCTCGGCAGGCTCGGGCACTGGGTGTTTTGCCCCTTTGTCTGGAAACACAATTTGGCAGCTCTCAGTGGCCAATCCTGCCCCTGGAGTGAGCAGCTCCCTGCCCAGGAGAAGCAGCAACCGCCCTTACAAAGACCTCAGATGGTCTTTTAATTCAGCAGTGATTTAATTGCAGCTCTTGCTCCAGGACAATACCAAAGACAGCTCAAGAGCCCCGACTACAAAGAGCTTTGGAGCAGGCATTCTGACAGCAAACTGTTCTCACACCATTGTTCAGGCTCACCCTTTCCAAAGGCCCCACCAGGACTGGCAGGAAGCCTCCAGCTTCTCAAAATCTGGGTAAGGAGATTACGGGAGCAGCTCACGAGGCTTTTGCTCTGAGCTGCAGGAGAGACCTCTGCTCTCTAAGAACTTGGTGTGTCCCCTGGGGCTTTCTGAGTAACAGCATCTCCGAGGGGTGGGCTGCAGCCTGGGATGAAAACTAGAGAGGGACAAACTCTGAATTCAAGAGGCATGTGTATAATTTTATTGGATATTACACTTCAGATAACAACTAATGATAAATGAAAAGCTGGATGGGGCTTTGAGCAACCTAATGGATGGTGTCCCTGCCTATGGTAGGGGGGCTGCAACTAAATCATTTTTAATGTCCCTTCCAGCCCAAACCATTCTGTGATTATATGAAAGGCAAAAAACTTGCATGTTACCATCTAACACTGGCTCTGCAAACAGAGAAAAAAATAACACGCTCTGTATTTGCTCTGAGCAAATATACAGATTGTAATATTTTAAAATGTGTTTACTCCAAGCTGTTTATAGTCAGAAATCATTTTCACTCAGAAAATACGTGTGTGGCATTTAATCCGGTAAAGATTTAAGCCAGGGTATGTCTCCTCTCAAAGAAGAACACTCCTTTGCAGCTTTCCTTCCTCCCTGCAGAGAAGACAGTCCAAAAATGAAACATGGTCCTAGAGGAGCATCAAAATCTGTCTTTGCTTATGCAGTAGTGGTGAATGAGGGAGGAGTAGGAAGGAGGAAAAACACATGCAAATCCCTAGAGTTTAAAAGTAAATTTAGAAGACAGATGAGGACTCCAGGGCTTGTCAAAATGAAGGTTGCCACCCCTACATCAACACTGCCAATTCCCTTGAAAAGAGCAGCCTTATGGCTCCTGCAAATATTTATGCAGAGATTTATTAACTGCAGTTACATTAACAACATGAACTTCAGGATTCATCTCCTTGAGATATTTATTTTCATTAAAAACAAACTGTTTGGGAAACACAGTAAGTATTTCCCTCTACACTTCCATCCATCTGGTTTCAGAAGAGCAATTCTATGGGATACAAACAGTCCTAGGCACCACACAGAGTACTAGACAATGTTTAAACCTCACACCCAGCAATACAGCCTTTACTCCAGTAAAGCAGAGTAGGAATAAGTTCACATTGAGGAAAAGCATAACTGAGTTACACGGAGGCTTCCAAGGACTTAGATGGGAATTAACTCGAGTTTAAAAGTTAGAGAAGTAAAAAAAGCAAGTACACAAGTCAAAGTACACAGTCCTTCACAGTTATCTCAGCAGTGAGGGGAACGGTGGCTCAAGAAAATCAGCTGCACAGAACAGCCACTCCCTAGGTGGAGAATGCCAAAACATCCAGTTTCAGGTCTGAAGGGGGAGAATTACTCTACCAGGATCGTATCGACACTTTCTTGGATGAGATCTGACTCCAGTATGCATTCATCCAAGTGCTCCTGGGACAAGCTGGGGCTCTTCCCCACACTCTCACTGTCACAGTAGGGGTGAAACCTGGGGGTGCTGGGGCTCTCCAGCCGCTGGCAGCGGCCGTACTTGTGCTGCTTCCCTCGGTGTGTGTACATGTGCTCCAGCAGCTGGCTCTTCCGGAAGAACGCGCGGCCGCACACGGTGCAGCTGACCTTCCTCTTTCTCGAGAAAGAAAAGTTACAGTTCAACTCCACCGGCTCGTGGTCCTTGGAGATGAGGGAGAGCTGCCCGATCTGCAGAGGCTCCAGCTCGCTGCAGCTCGGATGCTCCAGCTGATGCTCGTCCTCCTTGAGGAGGAAGGCGCCGAGGCGATGGCCGTCCCCGGGCTCCCTGTCCTCGGCCAGGGGCTGCACCTCGCCCAGGTCTCCGCTCTCCAGGATGGAGGCCGGCACGCCGAAGGGCAGCGAGCCCGAGACGTGGGTGTGCAGGTGCTGCCGCAGCCCGTCGCGCGAGTCGAAGCGCTCCCCGCAGTAGTGGCACAGGTGCACCTTGAGGCCGCCCTTGGCCAGGATGGGGCTGGCCACCCCCGGGGAAGGAGGGGTGCAGCTCTGGGACACCACGGGCTCCGAGTCGCACCGCTCCTGCTTTATGGAAACCGAGAGCTTCGGGCGCTCCTCGGGCGGCTTGGCCAGAGCCGCGGGCTGGGCCGGGGCGCGGGCGGGCTGCTGCTCCAGGGGGCCCTCGTCCAGGCCGATGGCCAGGGACAGCTGCAGCTGGGGGGGATCGCCCTGCGCCGCAGACCTGCCCGCCTTGGGCAGGCTCTCCTTCGCTCCCAGGCGCTCCTTGGCCAGCTTGTGCGCCGTGGAGATCTGGATCCCGTACAGGTTGGAGGACTGGACGGGCTCTGGGGAGAAGGCCTGGTTCATCTCGATGGCGATGTGGGACAGGTGGTCTGCGTGCAGAAAGCGGATGCCCTCCTCCAGCCGGCTCTGGCTGACAGTCTGCTTTGGCCCCTTCCCAGTGTACATGATATGTAACAAGTAACTAAATATGTCAGGCTGGATGTCTGTAGGCTGAATTTTTATGCACTCGCTGAAACAAAACAGATGATTAAGTACATACAGGGATCCAAATCCCGATCCATTACCTGCCCATTTGCTGTGAGAGCGCTTTTACAAGCAGCACTCCCTGCCAAGCCCTGCAGAAGTGCAGAAGCTTTGTTTGCAAAGCCAAGTGCCTGAGTCTGCGTTTATCCCTGTGATTCCGAAGGCCACGTGCACAACTGCAGCTGAGGCTGGTGCTGGTGACCAGCCCTGGCCACCCCGTCCCTCCCGTTCAGAGCCAGCTGCAGTCACACAGCACCGCAGCGATGCCATGCAAGCTGTGCATCACCAGTGTGTGCCACTCCATCCATCTGAGTAATGAGTTCAGCTGCCAGCACTGTGTAATCTTTATGAGTATAGCACTTAAGTGTCAGCAAACAATATCCACAGGGAAGGGCAGTTAACTCATCTCACTTCCAGCCAAGGGGCGACGCAGCTGATCCTAAAGATTATCTTGCAGAGGTGCCAGAGGCCACGACCCTCAGAAAGGAAGGGGAATGAAGAACATTTAATCCATCACAAACAGCCAGGCCCAGGTCAGAGGCCAGACCTTGGCACTGCTCTTGTTGTACCTGCAGAACCACTCCTGACCTGGCCAGGTGAAGCATGTGAACAACAACTTGAAATGAATCGATGATCTCAGTCTCGGCCCTTATCTCCAAGAGCCTGAAGCACAGAACTGTGATAAGGCCACAGCTTCTAGATTGTTTCAAGCCTGGGGATCCTGCCAGAAATGACAGTCTCACCCAGCAAGCTTGACAACAACCTAAGGCAAAGTACTGGACATATTTCACATGGGCAGGAGGAACCAGGATATCCCTGGGCTCCAAATCTGCAAGGCTCTCACTGCAGGAACATGGTGGTATTTATATGCTTTATTTATCTGGTCACACAAATGCCTCATCTCCAAAATGCAGGGTCTGATGTTGCCATATGCTGACTAAGAAAGTGGTTTTAAAGGGCAGTGCTTTCTGGTCTGAGATTGTTTAGAGAGCCAAGGCCTGTGCTGGGTTAGGAAAATAATCTCAGGCCACCTAACGTCCCCATTTATACTCTCTTAGACTTTTATACCTTTAGAAAGAAGAAAAAGCAGAACGCTGAGGGCGGTAAAAGGATAGGAGGAGAGCTGTGTGTTCTTACCTCGTCTGATGAATAAATATCATCTTAAAATAGTTTGAAAAAGCAGCGAGCACCGCTCTGTGGGCTTTGAAGTAAACATCTCCAATGGCAACTGTGCAGTCACACAGAAAGCCAAACTCCCGCTGCATGTTCAGCTGCTGGAGGAGGAGGACGCTGTGGCCGGTGGTATCCATGGTGTGCTGGGAGCAAGGGAACAAGATGTTCATCTCATTAAGAAACCGGAGAGCTCCCAAAGGCTCAAATGTTGACTTCTCACCACCGAAACGAGATGGACGCCTGGCACGGAGCCTCTTCCCTCCTCCAGATACTCCCTGCACCCCAATTTAACAGTTTCTCCTTCCGATACTACCGCGGGTGCTCAAGACCTCTCGGGGACTTTCCCATCTGCCAGCTACACTCAGAGACGCTTCTCCCGCTGGTTACCCACGCTCTGCGGGGTGTCAGCACTAACTTTAACCCTGGCTGGCGTTTTCCCTGCGAGCTGACGG